ATGTCACAGGCGTTAGAATGTGCCCCACCAAAATAGTAGGCAACAACAAAAACTAGAAAAATTGAAGTACTACCTAGACACCTAGACAGCAACAGCAACAAGAGCTGTGACAGCATTAACAGCATTTACTTGACACTTTGTGGCAATTAGCAGCAGCTCAACTATTGACATTCGAAATGGCAACGCGGCGTATGCCAAAAAAATAAAATAAAAAATAAATAAATAAAAACAAAGAGCACAATTATAAGAAAAAAATCTGTCAACTACTCTGATTGTCAGTCTATGATAATGTAAGTAGATATCTAATTGTTTAACCAAGTACCTTTTGCTTTCATTTTCCTCAAGCAAAAACAAATGACTGAGGCAACGAACTTCAATTAGCTGAGGTAGCAATTTTATATACGCGTTAATGAGGTCGATGAACAGCGCTTAGCACTGAGTAATGCCTTCATAATATATATGCTAAAAATGTGTAAGCATCTTATATTTATAAGTAGTTTGAAGTATTCCATTCTAATCTGCTTTAGATTCTAGCCATCATTAAAAGGCAAATGCTTTAATTAATCTATGTATATTATGTATCTATACACTGTATATTCTAGTTGCGTAACTGTTATACCCCCACCAGCCATCTATCTTCTCTTCTACATTCAAGCTTGATTAATTACATAATCTGTTCTTATAGATTTTTGTATTTTTTTTTTTTTTATGTTCGAATTGATTTTTCGTAATTAAAGCGATTTAATTACTTCATTGACTCTTCGTTCCACGGCGTTACTCTTGGCCAGTTCTATTGGCATCCATTGGCAGCGAGTGTTAGCACCTGTCGTCGTGGGCTATACTGGCTACACATTTTATTATCAGGTATCTGGGTCAAGTCGACTTGTCTATGGCTGTCATTTAATGCAAATTATTGTGCAATGTCTTTTCGGCCTGTTTCATTACACATTTCGGGGCTTGGGCGAGTGGCTAACGCATGTGGGCGTGGCCGGCGCAACAGCCGCTGCCATAAACTATCGAGCACAAGGCGTTAACTTTAATAACGAATTCTTACAAAAGAGAACATTGAATGTGTTAATTGATTGCGTGTGCTTGGCTCATGTTGCCATGAACTGCAAGAAAGTTGCAGTTCGAGGTTGATATAAATAATCATGTATATAGATAAGCATGAGAGTCTGTGCTTATCAAAACAATATTATTCAGAATTATTGTGGCATTCCCAATGATTTGTCGCTGCTTGGAGACCGACCATTCAT